CAACATGGGAAATTGCTCCAAAAAAAAAAAAAAAAAGAGAGTTTGGGACCAGCAGTTGGTATAATAATGGCTATGTCGCTGGACTCCCATGTAGTTGACCATGGTTCATATCTCAGACCCAGTGGCTTAAACTCACGCCAGGCGCGTGTGCATGCGTGCCCAAGATCCCGAGAGAAGAATGGAGGAGAAAGGATTGTGGCGTGGCCATCCCCCCTGGGGGGTGATTTCTCACTTTCTGTCTCTCAGTTTCTCTCTGTCTTTCCAGCAAGCACACGCACCCTATAGCAAAAACCTCTAAAAAAAAAAAAGAGTGAGTTTGAAAGACAGGTTAGGAACATGTGGAGACTTTTCTCCAAAGGAAGACAAGAGAGATCGCTACCTCACTAACCACTGTGTGATTGTGACTTACTGTCATGCGGCACTAGTCTCAAGTCCTCTAACCAAACCAGATGACTGGCCTCCCCTAAATGTGTGCGTGTCTCAATATTTGCTCACAGGGTTTCTCCCCCTGCAATCCCTAGTTTTCCATTTGTGCTGTTTCGATGCATCCTTCACTTCTTCCACAGCCAGCACCTCCTGCAAGTGTCCCTCCACCCAGCTGTAATGAATTGCCTTCCTTGGGTCCTCCCGAGCATTGTGTGTGTAGTTCTGCAGCAAAATGCTTCACAATCTGTTGGGATTTGGTTTGTACGCATGTTCTCTCTCCACCTTGCAGCTAGATTATAAGCTCTCTCTCTCTCTCTCTCTTTTTTTAGGTTTTTGCCATAGGGCGCATGCACTCATTCACCAGAGAGAGACAGAGGGAAAGTGAGAAATTACCACAGGAGGTATGGCTATGTCACAATCCCTTCTCCTCTAGTCTCCTTGGGATTTGGGGGAGGCATGCACACATGCCCAGCGTGATTCAAGCCACTAAGTCCAGGACTTGAACTATAGTTGACTGTGTGCTAGTCCAGTGCCTCAGCCGCCATGCCACTTGCTGGCCCCAGGTTGTAAGCTCGTTGAAGACAAACACAGCGACTTGCTGATCCGTCCTGTTAGCACTGATAGCATCTGTGATTGTGGATCTCAGTCTGCGCGTCCTGATGGTCTTCGCTGCCCTCTCCCTTTTTAGTTTTAAATGATTGATGTTTCTCTTTTTAAAGCTTTATTCCATGAGCAAGAGGGATGGTACCCCCAATAGAGTCTTGATGCCATGATGGACCTCAGCCTCAGCCAGCCCTTGTTCCCCGGGCACACGTGTACCTGCAGTACTCAGGGAGGTCCTAGACACGAACCCAGAACCGCCCCATGTGCAGTGCATCACGTCTTACCACTGTGTCCATTCTGAACCCCACCCTCTCATTTTTGATGACTCTCTTCATTTTTTTTTAAAGAACTGTTTTACATGGGACCAGCAGATGGCGTAATGGCTATGTCGCTGGACTCCCAGGTAGTCGAACGCAGTTCAAGTCCCCGACCCAGTGGCTTAAACTCACGCCAGTCACGTGTGCGTGTGAGCCCAAGATCCCGAGAGGAGAATGGAGGAGAAGGGATTGTGGTGTGTCCATCCCCCCTGGGGGGGATTTCTCACTTTCTGTCTCTCTGTCTCTCTCTGTCTTTCTGGTGAGTGCACGTGCCCTATAGCCGCCCCCCCCCAAAAAAAAAAACATTGTTTTATTTAACTTTATTTATTTATTTAAATGTGACCAGAGAGGGAGGGAAAGTGAGAAAGCAAGTCACCAGGTCTGGAACTCACACCGTGGTCGGCCATGTAGGAGTCCAGTGCCCTCAATCACCACCCCACCTGCTGGCCCCATGTACTATTTTATTTAAGAGAAGGATTTCTGCAAACTGTTTTGTTTTTAAGGTTTTTGCCTTTAAAGTTTTTGCCATAAGGTCCTGTGCTCACCAGAGAGAGTAAGAAATCACCCCCCCCCCCGCCAAGGATGGCCACAGTGCAATCGCTTCTCCTCCATTCTTCTCTTGGGATTTTGGGCAAACTCCATGAGTTTCAAACTACCAGATTCAGGACTCAAACCATGGTTGGGCATCCTGTGCCTTAACCACCATGCCACCTGCTTTGGCCCCCTGAACTGGGTTTAAATCCTAACTTTCAGCTCCATGATCTTGGACAACTCTAAGTTTGTTCTTGCTTTATGTCCGTTTCCATAACTGTAAAATGGGGAGAATGGGAACAGCAGATGATGTAATGGTTATGTCACTGGACACCCAGAGGGCCGACTCTGGTTCGAATCCTGGACCCGGTGGCTTGAAATTCATGCCGTGTGTGTGTGTGTGTGTGTGTGTGTGTGTGTGTGCGCCTAAAATTCTGAGAGGAGAATGAAGGAGAAGGGATTGTGGTGAAGTCATTCCCTGGGGTGTGATTTCTCACTTTCTCTCTGGCAAGTGCACATGCCCTACGGCAAAAAAATCTCTCTCTAAAAAAGGGAGAGTAAACTATGGACCCTCTAGGGTGGTCAGGACTGGACGGTATCTTAGTCTGTTTGTACTGCCGTAAGAAAATGGCTGAGGCTGGGTAGTTAATAAAGGGTCGAGCTGTATTTCTCACAGTCCTGAGAGGCTGCAAAGTCCAAGATCGAGGCACCAACACGTGGGAAGGCTGCTCTCTGCTTCCAGGACGGCATCTGGGAAGCTGCACCATCTGCAGAGAAGTGCTGCGTTCTCACATCGCAAAATGCGGAAGGGAAAAAGGCGCAGGGCCCTTCAGAGCAGCTCTTCATATCAGCACTACTCCATTCACCGACCCTGTGGCCTAACCACTGCCCAGAAGGCCGCGCCTCCCGACGCTGTTGCACTGGAGGCCGGGTTTGGGGGGCGTATTCAAACCATAGCACTCGACTGCGGTCCCCGCTCGTGCCCTCACTTACAGAGTACATTCATTTTATCCCAACAGCCCCCCAAATCTTAACTCATTCCAATATCAATTCAAAACCCTAAAGCCAAAGTCTCACCTCAATCAGACATGGATGAGACTCCAGGCACACTCACCCTGAAGAAATGGCCCTCCAGCTGTGAGCCTGTGCAAACAACCGAAATGTGCTTCCAAAGTACGATGGTGAGACATTCCGAAAGGGAGGATGGGGAAGAAGAAAGAACAGGCCCCAGGTAAGCCTAAAGTCCAACCTTAAGTCTTGAGAATAACCTTTGACCCCGTGCTGTGCTTTCCACATACACAGACCCCACGTTGCCGGCTAAAACCCCGCCGTTGTTTCTGTGAGTAATCGAGAGGCGAGGCAAAGAGGGAGAAATGAGTGTAGTTAGCATGTTCGAGCACCAGCACTGGACAGCACAAAGCCCAGGACAGAAATTTCCAGCACGTATCCGCGGTCACACCCCTCGCTTACCCACTATAACACAGACGTGGCTGGCTCCGCGCTGCTCCTACCCCCTGCTTTCTTAGCATCGTCTGTGTGTCTTCTCCTTTCACACGACCTTTACGACCCGGTTTATGTTCTACGGCGACACTGAATCTGTTAACTCAGACCTGCGGCTTACATTGATAGATTAAGGGGTGCTACAACAACCTGTTTTTAAATAATTTTTTATTTATCATTATTTATTTATTTATTTATTTTTAGAGAGGTTTTTGCTATAGGGCACGCACACTTGCCAGAAAGACAGAGAGAGACAGAGAGACAGAGAGATAGAAAGCGAGAAATCACCCCCCAGGGAGGATGGCCACGCCGCAATCCTGTCTTCTCCATTCTCCTCTCGGGATCTTGGGCACGCATGCACACGTGCCCCACGTGAGTTTAAGCCACCGGGTCGGGGACTCAAACCGCGGTCAGCTACATGGGAGTCCAGCGACATGGCCATTACACTAACTGCTGGTCCCTTATCATTATATTTTAAAATTGGCTCCAGGGCACATGCATTCACCAGAGACAGACAGAGGGAGAGTGGGAAAACAAAGCGCCAAGTCCAGGACTCGACTGTGGTTGAGTATGAGGGAGCCCAGCACTGTAACTACCACTCCATCTGGCCCGACAACATATTTTACTTAAGTTCTACTCTTTAACAAAACAGTCCCAACATCTGTCAATAATTACTATGGTAAATGAAGTGTAAGAAAGAGGAATAAAGCAAAAAAATAAAATAATAATAATAATAAAAACAGTTAAAGATTGTGGGCTTTCCCCCCTGTTATAGTGGTAGTTAGGCCACCAGAGCTCCAGGTAACTTTGCCCCAGATTTTGCTGACAAATTTTCTACGTTAGAGTCCATTGTCTTTACTCTCCAAGGCTGGAGCTGCATGCTGGTGGATCTATAGTTATGTGGTCCCATGGTTTCACGACGCATTGTCCTAGCAGTGGATCTCTATGGTGGACCTAAATCCACAGTCCTGCCGGGCATTGCCCTCGTGTGGGCCTTCTGCAACAGGTACCTGCCTAAGTCCTGAGGCTCTCCAAGTCATCCCTGGGAATCTAGGTGGAAGAAGCCATGCTGCCATCGCTCTTGCACTCTGCACATCCACCTGCATCATGCGGACATCACTGAGGCCCACTGCTTGTGCTCTGG